CAAATGCCGTCCGCAACATCAGTGACCACAAAATCGACAGTTTAGAGCTTTATATTTTGGGCACTAGACAGCGATTCCAGTGTGTTCACTGGAATTTGGGGATACTGTATTCGCAGAAATACCGTAAAGATTTATACATAGTATCATACAAAGGGCGGAATAAATTTCAAATTTAGTAGTGTACATGTAGGACGGTGTCTTTTTCTGTAACAACTCAATGTTTGTGGGGTGTGCCAGTCATTCTGTACGAGGCTCGTATTTGGCGAACATATCTACAGAACCCGTCTCATTGGCGTATTTTGGCACATGGGGAATTATGGAACACCCCTAATTTTTGGACTAGGCTGCGCGGGATTTCACTTCGCCTTGTCCCCATAACCGCGTTTTAGCTACAGCATCCGTGTTCACCAAAAGAATTCCAAGACAACTCGAGACAGACCCGTGTCCACGTGAGGTGGCACCATGCTACCGTCTATGAGGGCTCAGACGCAGGCGCATAGTCGGAGGACAGAGAAAGCTAATATCGAGGGAGAGCGGCGCCGTCGGGCGTTGGATCTCTTCAAAAAAGGTTATAGTGTCAGGAAGGCGGCTACCCTCAGTGGTATATCAAATACTACAGCGAGCCACATCAAGAAATGCGCAACGACAGGCCGTGGTTGGGCCTCGAGCGACTTCTAGACCCTTCCAATTTTCGTCGCGGTCCTACCCCAATAATTTCACCCCCAGAAGAGGAGCTGGTAGTTCGTAGGATTCCCATCGGTGCCCAGAGAGATTTTGCAGTCGGTAAAGAGGGCCTTAAGTCTGTGCTAGCGCAGATCAGCAACGATGGACGCCGTAATTTCAAAAGAAGTGTGCCATCCCCAGACACCATTCGCAACTTCAGAGCCCGTCACCGAGAACTGGCATACAGAGTGTCAGAAAATGTTTCTGTCGCTCGTCTCAGCGGAAAATGTAACACATATTGGAAGTTTGAGGACAGTGCTCGAGAAAATCTTTGCTGAATGTCCAGAACTGCGAAGTGATCCAAGAGGCATTTGGAACTTCGATGAAACAGCTGTCCTTGGGGAATATGGGAAAAAGATCAGATGCTACGCCTCATCCCAGGGTCACAGTGGAGGTGCTAGGATTTCCCTCAGAGATGCAGGGAAGCATCTCACAGCCGAATTTCCATCGCAGCGGACGGAAATGTTGCACCCTTGTTTTTGATAGCATCAGGAAAAAAGTGCATGTCCAGCTGGAAAAAGCCCCTAGCAGTTGACGATTCCACAAATAAGGAAGGAAAATCTCATTGGCTTTGTAATGAAGACTGGTGGCCTGAAGGCACCACTATCGCGGTCACCAAGAGCAGTTGTATCGATCGTTCTGTTATTGTGGATGTTGTCAAGCACATCGATAATCATGCCAGGAAAACTATACCTACCTCTGAGAAAATACTCCTTTTGGTCGACGGTCATAGCTCTACACATAGCCAGGAATGGATTGACGAGTGTCATCGTCGTAATATCGCCGTGGTGAAACTTCCAGCTAACACAACGCAAATTTTGCAGCCTTGTGATCAATCGACCAACCGAGCCTTCCGAAAAAGTACGAGAGACAAGGGATAATCTGTTGTCCATTAGTCACTTCTCCTGGGCTAATACAGCTATGAAAATCAAGGTCGCCGTCGCAGAACATAAAGCTGTAACTCCAACAATTGCCCGCAAGTCCTTTGAGGAATCCGGCATTTGGCCCATGAATTTTCAGTTCATGAATTTGTTTGATTCCTGTCCGTCAGGTGCATCGCCAACACACTTAGTACATGGACAGAACTCTCAAAGGGACAGGTTCGGGGTCGTGGATGTAGCAGATCAACCTCGGCGACAGGCCGCCATTGTTTTGGCAGAGCGCATAAGGACCTTATTGAATGGTAATATATATTCGACACGTGCAATTGCGGAAATTGCAGTGCTGATGAATACGACATACGTTGTGAACAAGATATTGTCTACAGCGATAGCTCCGACGCGACAAGCGAGCAAAAAAACTAATCAAAGGCGACAGACATCCGAGCCCAAATCTGCGATGATATTAACTCAGAGGCCTGGCAATTCGCATCGAGACATGAGTAACCTTCCCGTATCCTCACACGGAGGAACGGCTCGGAAGAGCCCAAAGAATCTGCTGTCTTCCTTCAATGCGTCACAAAGTCACGATAAAGAAAACATGGCACCGGTCAGGGCAGGTGACGCTAATCAGGGAGGAGAATAGGTTGACGATGAGTTGAGCGATGACATACCTATCGTATTACTCCGAAAATGGCGCCTCGAGCGTGAAGATCGCTGCTCAGAGAATGATGCTGCAGGGCAGACAAGTGTGGCAGCCCATAGTTTGCTTCACCTTTCGAAAATGCGGTGAGTACCACTAGAGTAGAATATTTTACAGTGTTCCATAACTCCCCAGCCTTTCACGAGCGCCGGCCGGCGGACTAAATTTTTCTTCGAAAATCAATGCATTTTTAGGCACAGTTGTCGATTCTCTGAATGGCGGAAAGTGTTCCACAATATGCCGATGAGAAGGGTACAAGACCTTTCAGGAAAGTAGAAGGGGACAGGTAAAATACTGCAGTACATGCCGAACAGGCAGTCCTCGATGACATATGGCCCATTGGTGTCTCAAAAAATCTGTGATTGCCAAAACGATTGATACTTCTGATTACGAACTGATAATACACAATTACGTGCTCCACACCTGAGCACCGCGCCAATGCGCAAAAGAGGAGCCTCATCGCAAATTAAACCGATCACTTCGCATAGAACACGCCCATTTCCTACATAGGTCAATAGCCAGTGCTCAAATATCCGTGCAGCCCACTTCCCCCCGTCTCACGCCACCGCCCTCCCCGCCCCACGCCATCAACTTCTCGGCACTAGGCAACCCCCTATCTGCCACAGGCGACCGCCGTCTCTGCAACTGGCAACCACCGATCTGCCACCGCCCTCCCTGCCACAAGCCACAACCCACCCCACCACAAGCTGCCGCTCCCCTCGCCCAAGCAGCCGCCCTCCCCGCCACAACCCGCCGCCCTTCCTGGCCCTGGCCACCGTCCTCCTCGCCCAAGCCGCCGTCCTCCCTGACCCTGGCCACCGTCCCCCTAGCCCAAGCCGCCGCCCTCCTCGTCACAGGCCGCCGCCCTTCCTGGCACCGGCCACCGTCTTCCCCGCCGAAGCAGCCGCCCTCCCCGCCACAAGCCGCCGCCCTCCCCGTCACAGGCCACTACTCTGCCCACCACCGACCACTGCCCTCAACGACACCGGCCACTGCCCGCCCCGCCCAACCCCACCGCCCTCCGGGCACCACGCCACAGACCTCTTTGCAAGAGACCACCGCCCTCCCTGCGACCGGCCATCGCCCCCTCGCCAGAAGTCACTGCCCTCTGCAACACAGGCCTCCTTTCTCACCGTTAAACCACAGTACCGCTCTATCTCGAGGCCGGTGATTTTATAATGGCGTCTTCAATTACTTCGTCAGATGCTGCACAAGCTTTGCAGCTCTTGTCTACCGCTGCGATTGACCAGCGTAACGAGCTCGAGCTTTTTGAAGGGCTCCATCCTGACAACAGCGACGAAGACAGTGGGTCGAATGAACCCATTTCTGACAAGTTTTACGAAGAGGGAGGTGCGGCAGCATTCTCGAAATGACAAACTTTTCACCGCCTCAGTTTGTGGGAATATGGGCTGGATTTCAGGATGTCATCGCCGAAAATTACAACGTGGGAAGGAGTAGGAAATGCGCGCACACGGCGAAAGTTGTGCTTTTCATGACGTTGGCTGTTTTGAAGCACGGTGGGGCATGGGATTTTCTAGCGCGGATGTTTGGGCAGAGGACTTCCGCTTTTGAACGCATTATAGTGCGATTCATACGCATGCTCTCTGAGCCAGTTTATGAGCAGTATGTGGTCTACCAGACCAAACGTCGGTCCATGAAAATGCTGCACGACAACAACCGCATGTTTAAAAACTAGCCAATGGCAAGATACGCGACTGACGTCACGTTTCAGCCATCGTTTCGGCCTTCAGGAAGCATAGAGGAAGGGAAAAATATTTTAGTGGAAAGCACAAATTATACGGATTCAAGGTGGAGGTCTCCGTAACTCTGACCGGACTCGCAGTATCCTCGAGTATGCATGAACCCGGGTCTGTTTCGGATTTGGATATTTTTCAAAGCATGCAGTTTTTTCATAGGCGTGAGCACCGAAAGAGGGACGACGAAAAGGAGATTTATGACGAGGGGCCACTGCACGAAAGCTACCCAGGGCAATGGGCATTTCTTGCTGACAAAGGCTATCAGGGCGCGGCCGAGTTTTGCAGAATTGTCCACCCTAAGCGCAAACGGCAAGGGGAGTTTCTGTCTCTAGGGGAGGTTGCAGAGAACAAGGCTATTTCCAGCGATAGAATCATGGTGGAGAACTATTTCGGGCGGTTGTGTGGTCTTTGGAATGTTATGGGATGTAAGTGGAAGTAGAGTGAAGAAAATTATGACCCGGTCTTTAGACTGTGTTTGGGATTGACTAACTTTCATATTCGTTGGAAGCCGTTGCGTGAACAGGATATGAGTCTGTATCAACAACTCACGAGTCGTTGGTACAGTATTGGAAACAGTCAGCTTGAGCGGCGACGCCGTATTCAAAAAAGGTATCGTGAGAAACGCGCCGATATTATGAAGCGACAGTTTAGGGCGAGCTCTGTGCTTGATTTGCTTGGCCGGAAGCCCAGCGAGGACTGCTACAGTGCGCACTGAAAGTATAAGGACACCATTGAAACCTTGACCTTGCACAAAAATACGAAAGATATGATCATGAAAAGCATCTCAAACGAAAGAGAAGAGAAAGAGTTTACAGGAACTGTAATCGTTTTTATAGTTTGGTACTTGTACGGTGACTTATCTTTAAAAAACTAAATACAACCGCACTGTAATTATAAGGACAAACAAAAGTGCAATCAAAACCGTTATATATTTCGATCTCAATAAGTCATGCGGCCGCCATTCTTCTGCAAAACAGCAATGCAACGCCTCTGCATCGATCCAACGAGATTCTCAAGAGTACTGTGGTCGATATTCTGCCAGCAATCGACAATAGCCTCAAACAGCTCTACAGTATCCTGATACTGCCTCCCATTTCCATACACACTCCTTGCTAAGATCCCCCATAGATTTTCGATGGGATTGAGGTCTGGTGAACGCGAAGGACACGGTAAAACAGCAACGCCATTGTCCGTAAACCATTTCTTGGGATAAAAAGAACGATGTATAGCGGCGTTATCTTGCTGATATGTCCAATTCTCACCATGCGTCACTGCCGCAAAAGGTAGCAAATCGTCCTTAAGTAGTTCACAGTACTTTGCAGAATCCTGTTTCCCATACATTATTACTAAATTGTTCAGTTCGTAGTAAGAGAGGCAAGACCAAATCATTAAAGAATGACCTCTTTGGTGACGTCTGCTTAAAACTTTTCTCCTTTCTTAAGTCATGCCAATAGTAAAGACAACCATCGGGGTCATCTAAATTGAACTTCTTCTCGTCAGAAAGAATAGTTTTGTTCCATTTCTCATCATCCCAAGTAACATGAGTTTTATCCCAATCTAGCCCTTGTTGCATATGCATCGGAGTAAGGACTGGAGCACTTATAAACTTGGTGTACTTTAGATTAGTATCTTTCCTCAAAAGGGCTTGTACGCACGACCGGTGGACCGGTAAATCGAGTGCCTTGTGGATCTGATTGGCCGACTTTTCTCCTTTAGAAGCCTCCCTTATTACCCTGCGCTTTATAGCGGGCGTTAGTTTAGGAGGCCTTCTACGCCTCTTTTTAGATCCGTATGCCTGCCGATTCCTTCTAAAGTTGTGCACGACGGTCTTCGATCTGTTGATGGACTCTGCGATCTCTCGGACAGACAAACATTCGTTGTGCAGAACGAGAATTTGACCTTTTTCCACGTCTGTCAATTGCTTCCCTTTCGGCGTGTTGAATGGCTAGATGGTGGGCATCGGTTGGCCGGGATGGCCGGCCATGTTCGAGAAGATAGTACTGTAGCGTTTTGGTAGCTCGAAAAATGGTTTACTCTGCTACGTTATCGGTAGTCGTGTACTGCCCTTAAAATTACAGTGCGGTGGTATTTAGTTTTTGAAAGATAAGTCACCGTACAAGTATCATATTATAAAACGATTGCAGTTTCTGTACACCCTTTCTCCTCGCTTTCGTTTGAGCTGCTTTTCATGATCATATCTTTCGTATTTTTGTGTAAGATCAAGGTTTCAATGGTGTCCTTATACTTTCAGTGCGCACTGTAGTCACCACCTAGTTACTTGGTTTGTTCGAAAATACTATCATTTTGCACTGTGTTGTAAAGGTTTGCCAGGATATCCGTTATTTGCGCTTTTGGAGATCTTTTCAGGAGCGACTGAGTCGCGTTCAAATAAATGCTATTTTTTGGCAATTTCTGAGTGATTCAATGAAATGTCAATATTAACATCGACATTTGACAGTAGGTCTCCGACGCAAATTTGCGTCGGAGACCTACTGTCTCTGAGGGCCATTCCATTCATCGTGATTGGCAATCATGCAATCACGCAATCACGCGATCACGACATTAATTTAACGTCGTTCTGCATCGTTCCTTTCTCCAACGTGTGCTACTTGTATCTGTAAGCACATTTCCACGGCTTTGCATGTGCATGTGTTAACGCACTTCTTGCCTCATTCCATTTCACGTTTGGCATTTGAATGGGGTTTAAATCTTGGCTAAATGTTGGCATCGGGGGGGCGACAGGGTGTTTTTCTTAACATATAGGGGGGCGATTCTATGGTTTCTCCAGTATTGGGAAGGCGACTGCGAAAAATATGATCCAGCAGTAGGGCGAATCCTCAAATGGTTAAGATTAGGTAGGGCGATAAAATGATACGATAAGCGACATTTGCACATGGTGCTGTTTTAGGGGGGCGAAAGTGACATTTTTGGAAAAACAGGGGGCGATTTAGAGAAATGCGATTATGTAGGGGGGCGATATGTCATTCTTGTGATATAGGAGGGCGATTGAGTGTATAATAAATCTACGTTCACTGCGGCACATCATCAAAAAGTTGCCTTAAACTGCAGTCTCGAGCTACGTGCCCTTCGAGATGACATAAAGAGCACTGATAAGATCGGCGCTTAGGGGCATTAGACCAACGCTCGTACCACCCTTTTCGGCGTGTTCCTGCATTCTTGACGGGTCTTCGACGAGGTGGCGGAATGGCTTTGGGAACCTGTAGATTGTTACCAGACACAACCATTCTCTTTGCGGCTAATATGGCATCATCCACATCGCTCTGGTGAGGAAGAGCAAAAAACACATTCTCGTACTGTGCCCTCCATGAAACTGTTAGATGTTTGCGGTCGATAAACTTGTGCAAGTTTGCACTTCCATACTTTTCACAAATAACAGCGACTCCGTGATAGCATGGGAAGCCCGAAGTACGTCGAGAATACGCACAACAATCTCGTGGGACTTGGGATTCACCGCTCAAATTGACGATGCATGTTGAAGATCCATCTACTTGACTACGTACTGTAGCCTCCATTTGCGTAGATCCGTCTAGAAATTCCACAGAGAGCTGATAGGCTCGTGATCGCTGTATGAGTGAAGCAATGTGCTTCTCAATGTACGGGGGGACAGGATTTTTGCAGGACAGTGAGTCAGCTTGACGTCTCAAAAACCCGGCTCTTTGAGTAAGTAAAACGGTTGTTATCATTTTTTGAGGTTCCACACTTCGTCTGTTATTGCGCAATGCGGCAGCCATCTGGCTCTCCGCCCCTTGTGATGTACGAATAAGATCGTGAAGGTTCGAAAACGCAAAGTACAGTTCAGAATCGTCGAATTTACCGAGGTATTGTCTCTGATCAACGTTATATTCTGAGCGTATGTCGTTAACCATTTCAATTGTCGGCGCATATACCGCCTTTTCATACAAATGCAGTCCGACAGCTTGCTCTGCCCCACGTAGCTTAGCCACAAGATTTTTCTTGACATGTATCGGATCCAGAAAGATACGAGCATGCTGAAAACATTCCTATATGCCTTGTCAATAGACTTTTCTTGGTCAACGATAGTAGTTCGAGAAGGTACATCGAATCCATCGATAGCTGCACATGCTTGAAAGATACTCTGCCACGTTTCGAGACACTCTGGACCGACAAAATGACCAAACACCAACGGAAAAAGGTGGTTGTTACCGTCATACGCAACCACTTCAAATGTAGTTCCGTATGACTGAGAACCGACGCCATCGCAATGTGCAGCATCAGCTGCACAAGTAGTCCTTCTAGTCGCACAGATATGCTTCGCGACAGAGGGTACAAATACAAAACCTCCATAGTACCGCCCATGCTCATCAATATCTGAGCAATCTACGACATCCGCATTGAACAATTCCTCGTCAGGAATAGTTTTGGCTCTCTTGCACTGAGCAAAAATATGACGCGCTGCCTTCAGCCTTTGCTCCTTCATCTCTAATCCGTTTAGAATAAAAATTTTGACAGTGTGTCCGACGTCTTCCAGGAGCTTCGCGTAGCCATCCATGGCTGTCATGTTGACATCCCTTGATATTGTTAAGTGTCTCATTAACTCACGACGTATGCTACGATAGTGAGTGTAGGACGGTTTGCGCTGGTAAATTCCTTTTGCTTTCACCACGGCAGCGATGGCCCTGGAATTTATATTTGGTATGTTCGAGGTTTCTTCTAAAATGGCCCTCGCGACTTGTTTCGCAGTATAAGCGGGTGCACAGTACTGCTTGGCACGCGTTGCGTGCCGTGATGACGGACTTGACCCCGGAACTGGAAGCTCTTGCCCAAAACACTCATTATTATGTTCCTGGTGTTTATTGAGCTTCCAGTTCCCGGACTTAAGCTGCCAGTTGAAAGCAATAACCGCATTGAAACGCTTATTACGGCAGCTTATTTGTACTTTAGTCGTGGTTTGGTGAATATTGACCCCTTTCTGCACAGCAAGGTGTGCAGTGTGCGCCCTTATGAGCTGCTCACACTTCCATCTGGCATTGAAAGACATCCCAATCACTGGGGAGACAGGTATGACCCTTTTTGGTTTCCATGTCCTAGAAGCCAGTCTCTCTGCGCGTAGAGCTAATTTTGCCCGCTGTACCGCTCTTTGTTTGGATGCACGTTTTTGCTGCCTTCTTCTTGAAAGTGCAGAAGTATTTTCTGGGACAAGTTCTTGAGGACTGCCGGGATTCGTGTTTATAGCTATTTCTACGGGCACCACCTCCTCATCGCTGAGACGGGAGTCGGAATATTCTCCCATGTAGTCAGCTGGATCAAATGAATCACTATCACAATCGTCGACAGGATCACCAAAATCAGAACACGTCTCATCCTCTAATGTGCTATTTTGTTCATCACTGCCTTCTTTCCCAGGAAAATCACTACTTTCACAGTCGTCCTCATTCTGCTCTGGAGCAAATTCTGGTGCAAATTCTGGTGCGTCGTGCTCAGGAGCTGCCCTGGCCTCATGCCCTGTATTAGAGTTGGGGGTGGGACTAGAGTTGGGACGCAAAGATTCAGTTGGATACGGTGCGGTGCTGCTGGCGGGCGCAGATCGGACGTCATCTTGTGTGGATTCCACATGCCTTGTTTCTTGACGCCTTGATTCCTCTACTTCCTCCCGTTCCATCTGCAGCTTCATTTCGTGATTCTGCACATGTCGCTCTTTCGGTGTGGAGCAGCGGGTAAGCCTAACCCATGTGGATATCTTGAAGTCATCTGAACGATTCACAGAGAACTGGTTCCGCAAAATAATCTCATATTCTTCTTCTGTATTGACCTGTTCAATAGCTCGAGAAAGAATACTCATGCACCGCTGTGCCCCACGCTTGTCTTTGTCACCAACGCGGTCTGGATGTACAAGATGCGCCAACCTGCGATAGCTTCGTTTTATGGCCTTTACCGACGACCCGACGGAAAAGATATTCACCAGAGGGGTTACGTCGATCTCAACTGTAGACAAATGACGAAGCGCGAGGACGGTTTCTTGAGAAATCGTGGACATTTTGGGGAAGACAATGGACAGAGTAGGGGGGGGGGGGGGGGCGGAATAGAGAGGCGACTTTGCGAGGAAAGAGGCGACAATGGCACTTTGAGAAATTTCTGGGGGCGATTTGAGTCCTTTTGAAAAAAGTTGAGGGCGATTCTGACCTTGAGTCCAGTCACAGTAGGGCGACAGTGAAAAAGTGACATCAAGTCGGCCCCCTCTCTTGAACATTATCGAAACCCGCCCTACTGTATCTTGATATTTTGTCAAATCGCCCCCCCGATACTCAAGAAAACCCAAAATCGCCCCCCTCTATGCTAAGAAAAACACCTTGTCGCCCCCCTAACGACAAAATGACCCTTAAATCTTTTAGAATTGCAAGGAGCATTAC